GCCTGCAGTGCAGTTTCTCCAAAGAAAGTTAAAGGTCCACCATTCTGCTGTTTTAAACCATAAAGTCAACTAAATGCATATGAAATATTGCCTTTGCATTACATAGTATCCATTCGTTACTAAATCAATTTTTATCTTCTCTTCCTACCCAGAAGAAAGACACTTAACTTTTATGCCCATTTCACAATGTCCCCCTGTATCTCTGCAGCATCATTATCAAACCACTTCTGGAGACTAGGCTCTTCTTTAGTAAAGCTAAACAAAGTCCCACAGCTCTTACAGACATTAAATCATTTCTTTGACTTTGGCATTAGCTTAAAATAATAACACACTGCGCAGATTAGCTGCTTAAATAACCACTTTTTCTCAGTTTTGAGTGAAAAATGATGGTACTCTGCCTCACATCAATATGCACTATCAGATAAAGTGTGCATGTTGTTTTCTGGGCGGGAGATGTATTGAGTGTTGCTGCTTCCTGAAGGGAGGATGGTAATTACTGCTCTGCATGAGAAGGTGATGGCCACTCCCCCTTTCAGCTTAGAGCAGAATTCAGCTGGATTACTCAGACATCAAATATCATAACATAGTTAAAAGCGTAGCAGTAATTAAAAACAAGTTACCAACTTAAGATTGTTTTAAAATCTAGCAACTGCTGGGAAGAAGGATCTATGTTTACCTTCCTTTGTGCCCTCAGGATGCAGCAGTTGGTGATAAATGGCGCTACATCCAAAAACTCTATTTTATACAAATGAATGTAAAAGATAGTTTCCTTTATACATTTACTAACAAACAGTTTCTTTTTAAGCTTATTGCAGAAATGTTTTGTTCTTGGCATTGCATTGACTCTCTATAGAACGCCATTTGTCTCTTTAATCTCAGTCAAAAAGTGAACCATTTCCCCTCGGTGTGAATAAAGTTTGGGGGAAATGTTGATTTAAGAACAAAAGTCACATTTCAACTTGATTCATCACCAAATTCAGAGTCTTTATTAAGTCATTAGCAAATACAGAACTGCAAATGTAATCACGTCAGCAATGCACAGTGAAAGAGTCCGGTTCCATCAGTTTAGAGGCGAGGTTCTGACATCAGAGCCAGTTGAGAACCATTTCTAAGACACATTTACATCAGCATTGTCTTAATGGATAAAAACAGGCATTCGATACACAGGAAAGAGCTTTTTATCAGCCGGTCATCTTTCACAGCACAATTAAAGTCAACTTTCACTCTTTGATGTACAGGCGTTGTCTGCTGGAATCAGCTGAATATTTAGAGAGCATCACAGTAGGAGGGTCTGAAAGCGGCTCCAGATGAGCCGAGGCACATTAAAACCGGGCAAAACAGACCCAGAAAGAGCGCTTGATACTGCCGACACCAACAGAACCGGCTGTTAGTGCTGGAGGTCAGAGGGGTTCAAACCTTTTGATGCAGAGATTTTATTTAGGTCTGGTCTGAATGTGCACATCTGGGCTTTTACAAATCATTTCCAAGGAAAAGAGACGCTTCCAGCAAAGTTAGCAAGTTTAAATCTGGTTGGATAAAACCAGTCCAGCGTGGTGAAAAAAACTGTGGTAAACAGTTTAATCTATCATCATCATCACTCTGTCTCCAGTTACAGGAAAAGGAGGGGTGCTTGGAACAGTGAGATGTTTAAGACCCTCATTGGCTGAGAGCGTTCACATGTTTATGGAGTAATTGTATTAATCCGTGTATCAGTCAGAAATGATGGAAAGTGTTGAAGAAGTGTATGTGACTAATGGCTGTTAAAGGCATCTTCCCACAGGAAATGACTGATGTTGAATTGATTTCTCTTTATAAAGTGTTTCCAGATGACGTGAAGTAAATTGGAGCTACATAAATAAACTGAATGGAATTTAATACTTTTTTTCTTTAACCAAAGTCCCCCCCCACATTAGGAAGATGAAGCCTGATTAAAGCGATCAAAAAGGTAAGATACTAGCAAACCTGCCAACAAAATAAACTCTTTAAATGTAACTGACTCCTCTAAATAATCAATATATTAAATCTGATAAAGTTAGCTGAATACTAGAGGGTTTAGATTTCCTGTTTAGTTTCTCCTCCACACAAAAAAATCGATTCATAGGGGATCCACGCCTAACATGCTGGTAGACGGGTGCGTCCTAAACCAACATGTCGGTAGACCAACAAGTCAGTAGACGCGCCCGTCCTGGACCAACATGTCGGTAGACCAACATGTCGGTAGACGGGCCCGTCCTGGACCAACATGTCGGTAGACCAACATGTCGGTAGACGGG